ACAATTCTTTAAGTTCCAGTTGCATGCAAATAACAGTTCTTTTAAAATATTATAATTAATTTTTAACATCATACAATACAACACACAATTCTTTAAGTTCCAGTTGCATGCAAATAACAGTTCTTTTAAAATATTATAATTAATTTTTAACATCATACAATACAACACACAATTCTTTAAGTTCCAGTTGCATGCAAATAACAGTTCTTTTAAAATATTATAATTAATTTTTAACATCATACAATACAACACACGATTCTTTAAGTTCCAGTTGCATGCAAATAACAGTTCTCTAAAATATTATAATTAATTTTTAACATCATACAATACAACAAACGATTCTTTAAGTTCCAGTTGCATGCAAATAACAGTTTTCTAAAATATTATAATTAATTTTTAGCTGGTGTTTTAATATGGCAGTATTGTTTTTTTTCTTTTGTTATTCTCTAAAATTATATTAAAATTTTGCCATGTAGAATATCATTAATGCTGTAGTTTTTTATTGACATAAACTCTGAATAGTAAAATTAGTTTAAATGAAGCAGTTAAAAATGTATTGAGACATTATATTTGTGAGCTGGTTTCAGAAAAATAAATACAATTTTTTGTGATTTAGAATTCAAACTAGATAATAGGTGGTTTAATTTACTGCCTTAGCATTCAGTTTTGTCAAACTGTTGACTTTGCAGAACATGGATGATTATTTTACCCATGATTTAACTTTAATTATGTAGATGGTTAAACTGAAAGTAGGCTTAGTTGGAATTATAATTATTTTAAGATAAGTTATCCAATTTTGATAATGGAGAAAAATTTACTTCAGTAAATCTCTGTTGAATTTTGTGGAAGCTAATTATTGCAAGTGAGCTGTTAAAATCTGCATTATTCAAGCTATACTGTAAATGCTTTATTTAGTCATTTTCACATATTACATCCCAATTGAAGTCAAGACATCAATAGTAGCATAATGTGGAATCATCATAAACTTCAAGTTATATTTATTTCAGAAAAATTTGTTTTTACTGTATTCAGAATCTTCCATTAAATAAAAAAAATCTCGGTATTACACACAATGGCTAAAATGAAGTTGTGATTTATAAAATATAACCGGATTTCCAAATCATAATCATTTACATATTTCTGAAGAGTTAGACACTATAAAATAAAGCTATCTGGGCAAAAAAAAAAAAAAACTTTCTTATTTAAGGGTTAGTTATTTGAGTATATTCTATACTTGTATCTTTCAACTTTTTGATTTTAGACAGTTACATTGCCACTTATAAAGAATATATGTTTTCACAAACTTTTGGCATTATATGTTTTATGCTTTAAATGCAGTTTTCCTTTTCATTCTTAATACTTTTTTAAATATATGAAGGTGGCACACGTGCCTGCCTGGAGAATACATACAATGTTTTTGGAATATCTCATTCATTTTAGAAGATATCTCAATTAAAAATTAGTAAACTGACAAAAAAAACACCTCAGCTTTCATCTTATTTTTGAAATCCAATTTAGATCGAAAATAAATTTATTGTAAAAAGCAAAAATTGACCATACTGTTAACTAGCTTAGAGCTTCCCCAAAATTGTCGTGTTTTCAGTAAATGAATGACATATTCCAAAACACTGAGTACTTGTAGGGCAGGTATATGTGCCAACTTACTCGCTGCTAATTGCTAATTTCTTCCTGAACATGCCAGAGATCAGCAGGATAGTTTGCACAAACTTATATATTTGTAGAACACATAAAATACTTAAGATACAGATAAGTTTCTAAATAACTGTAATTTTAGAAGAAATTAAGCAAAAATAGTAGCAGCTTAGCATAAATAATAATACGTAGTAGGTTTTATCCATCTATGATAGAATAATGATACAACTTCAAAAATAAATCATTTTGAAAGGTTCTGAGCCAGTATAGCCTTTTAGTATTTTATAATCTATATATATTTCTCATTCTATTCACATATTAAATTACTTTGCTTCCAGTCTTTATACATTATGTTTTATCATACTTTTATAGAAGATTTGTCATTATAGTGTAAAATAAAAGTAAGTTTCCAAATCTTTGTACTTTCATACAGCAGAAGAAACACTTAAATTTGGAAAATATATAATCCTTCACAAATTAATTAGAGTGTTGAATAAACATGACAGAAAACCTGCTCCTACACACTATAATCCACTTCCCTCCCTGGTGGGTCACCATTAAGTTTATGGACTTGCAATGCTGAAATATGGGATTTGATTCTACACAGTGGATGGAGCACAGAGAGCCCATTGTGTAGCTGTGACCTAAAATAATAACAACACATAAAAAATACATTTGATGCAATAGCTAATTTTAATACTACTAAAATGCTACAAAAGATAAGCTTTTTTTCAAAACAAGTGTAATTTGGTACTACATATGTAATGGAAAAAACTTTAACAAGAAAACATGTTTTTTCACATTTTTGTAGAAATTTAGATATCATTTTGTGTTACATTTCAACTGTCTATTAGATTAACACTACTTTTCCTCATAAAGTTCAAAACCCCAAACATAATTCACATGTTTTCATGTGAAAATAAGCAAGTTTTACTTATATTAAGGTAAGATTGTTCTTTTTAAAAAGTAAAAAACTAAACTAAAGAATAAATTAAAATTTTTTTCACACCTTCTATATCAAGTTCATTCAGTAATTATAAAAAAATGAAGTTTTATTATTACCAATAAAAGCAAATCTTTAGGTTGTTTGTTAATTTCCAAGATAGAGGGTTGATAAAAATAATTTCAGCCTATTACCAATGTGAATACAGGTTTACTTAAATGTAATTACTGAAACAAGTTTTTAAAATTGCACAAGTTAAATTTTAACTTCATGTTGGCCAAAAATACAACCCAAGGTGTATTCTTTACTAAGTTAAAATGCTAAGCCTCAGAATGACACTTTTTAAAGAAAATAACAGTGTAAACATATATAAATCACATAAAATGCTTTAATAAAGTTCATTCAAGGCACTATTTTAGCCTTATACATTATTTACTACACTGCTTTTTATGGATTTATATTACTGCTTGAGACCTACTCATGGTAAAAAACAAAACAAAAGCACTATTTAGATGTGAATCACATTCTCAGAACATTTTCTTATGATCTCACAGTTTTATATCTCTAGTATTTCAAGTTCATGGTAGTACTTACAAATTAGTTATATTAGATTAGTAAGCCACTCTCCAGAATGACCCATATAATACAAAACTGTACTAATGTCTTAAAAAATTTCTAGTAGGATCAAAATGTCTTGATTTGAAAAACTATTTACATATTAAAACTTACTTTATAAGAATACTTACTATTTTCCTTCAGGAACAATAATATTTGAAAATAAAGCAATAATAATATTCTGGTATTACAAGTTCCATTAATTCCAGTTATAACATAGTCGGTTATCTTGTTTATATACGATAGTAAAATAAATTACATTAATAAATAAAAGATATAACTTTAAAAAAATAACTATCATTTTGGAAGGCTTGCAGCCCACTAAAACATTTAAAATTTATGTTTTATGGTTCTGCTGTTTTATTCTAATATTATCAAATGATTAATTAAACTTCACTTCGTGTTTCTTATCAGAAGCCAAAACATTTTTATGTAGTACATTATTTTACATTTACATACATTATAGTTGTAAAATAAAAAGTGTTAGTAAATTATCTGTACAAGTAGACAATGGAATAACTTACTATTATTTATTATTTAAATTTTTATCATCTCTTTTATAATATAATAACTATAGCTAAACATCTAGCCACTACTAAAAAATTTAGTTAGAGACTTTTAAGAAGAAACAATTCCAATACTACAAAAAAAACTTCACTGTAATTTGTACATTTCCTAGTTCATCTGAGATTTCGTAAATATACACTAACATTTTAAATAATCTTTAGTTTGAAGGTCTATATAGGCTATTAACCTGTACAAAATATACATTATTCACTGGCTGTATATACTACTGTAAAAATATCCTTTAAAATTCTTCTCTACATGATGTTTTTAAGCAGATTCTTATAAGTTAGCTTTTAAACTTATCATCCAAAATGGCAATCAGCTACAAAAGATAATAAATACATACTTAGTATGTTGTCAAAAGAAACAAACAGATTTAGGACAAATATCCTCCATACACTTTGCTCAATATTGGAAATTATATTTAACAATGAATAGCCAACCTATTTGATGATGCAAAGAGGAAAATATATTTTTTTGCACATAATTAATTATTCATAGAAAGGAATAGTGCATTTACAGCATTTCATGTAAATCTTTCAACCATATAAGATTATTCAAAAACTGATAAACAGCACTTGCACTGTGTAAGTGAAAAAATATTTTAATTAATGAACTTTAGTATTGCAAGAGAACAAAAGATATTTCCAGAAGTAAGATCACAGAGTCATTAATTTTGAATGGTGAAAGGATACATATTTACAAAGTCTGACTTAAAACTTTTTTCTAATATTTGAAGAAATAAATGACAGATGGAATCACAACTAAAACAGTGAGAGAAAACATCTGTTACAATCTACAAGCAGTGAAGAAAATTTTGGTTGATTCCATAGTAAGTCTTGATAATCTTTCCTTTATAAGTAAATTTACTTTTGTACAAAAGCTAATAAGTAAAAAGAAAAAACAGAACTAAGTAACTGTGAATACTCATTCCTTTGTTATCTAATTATTTATCTCTATGAGGCTGTTCTCAACTCTTTTCTGGATATTTAGATGCTGAATCCTGTTCTTTGATCTCCATATTTTCAGAGTGTAGTCATCACTTGCTGTGACAAGCATCTCATTATCAGCTGGGTTGAATGCAACAGAGTTCACAACATCTGTATGGGGTAACTTAGCAAGGCAATTACCATAATGCCTATCCCAAAGGTATCCATGTTTGTCTTCAGCTCCACTGTAAAGACAAAACATAAGTTTCAAAACTTTATGATAGTGGAGCTTACTATTAATGTGTACTGAAACGAGGTCACACCGTTGATACCTCTTTCCATCTGAAATAGTATTCAGTATTTTTCAAAGGTAAATTATTAAAGGCGTACAAGTTTGATACTTCATTACAATTAGTCCTTAATTGTTTGTTTTTTATTTGGGTTCCCTTTAGGTTTAGGCAGATATAAAAAATGCTGGGCATTTGTTTTTAGTTGACGTGTTTTTAACTGGTTCTAGGATTCCTCTCCTTACATCAATAAAACCCTTTAAATATGTTTTGAAATAGTTTATAGTTTAATCTCCAGAGGAAGAAAATGTTTATGGGAAATTAGTAAACAGATTTTTCTACAGACCTGACTAGTTACATGGTGCTAAACATCATTTGGTAGCAGCTTGTTAATTTTTATCCTCTGGTTTCTCATCATGGGAAAGATAAATACTTTAAAGACCAACTACATTTTGTAGTAGCTTACAGAGGACAGACTACTACAAAGTGTATGCGAAACGCTCATGAAAAAGTGTGAAAATGCTGTCATTTGGCAGGGATTTCCAAGAAATGAACCTCAGCTTTGGTATATGAAACTGAAACATTACGGCACTTTCATTGTGTTGTTTGAAGACAACACACAAGAGAAAGGAAGGATTTGCACGTTATGCTAAGCAAAGAAGAAAGTGATTCCCAAATGAGATTGTTTTGATTTGCAAATTGTGATGTGAACCGGAGCTTAACCATTTTTTTAAATAAGAGGACAAAAAGAGAGAGAGAGAGAGAATGTATCCACTCTGGTGAATATAATTCCCTGGAATTTTAGCAAGATTTTTTTAAAGACCCACACTAGGGTGGTCCTTATTTTTGAAGTTTTAATTTATGAAGCTCTTGTCCCCTAATTATGCTTCAATGTACAAGTAATTCACACCAAATTTAATCCATACTGAATAATATTTAATGGGTTGCTCATGATGGTTGAAATTCTGAAATGTTCTAGCATATTATCATGGAATATTCCAGAGTATTCCATATTATTCAGAATGCTCAAGAACATTCCATATATAAATAATCCATGCTGTCACTTTTTACTTCTGAAATATTCTGTATGACATGACAGTAATTACTAGAATTTCTGTGAAGGCAGAGGTGAAATTTTGCTGGTACTCATCGGTACTAAGTACCACAACCTATTTTTTAAGGTGGTACTAGTACCGGGACTTATTAGAGCTGCTTTGTTGTTTTTTTATGTTTACACATAGATTTTTTTTCTTTTTCAAAAACAGGTCCCCTTCACCCAGCTGATTACTTCTACTTTTTTATATATATATATATATATAAGAATTTCACCCATGTGTGAGGGTATATAAGCACTTAAGCAGATTCTTCTGTCTCATTTCAACTGCTACAAGTGGCATAACATTGCAAATGGATACTGCAACAACGAGTAAGAATACACTTTGGCTGCTTGTTTCAAAAGAAAATGAACTTATAGGAAGCAAAATATCTTCAATTAGGCAAATACTGTGTATGTTTTTCTATCGTCACAAAACAATAAAGAAGACAGTCCTTGAAAGTTAAAAGGTTGTGATTGAGGAGGCTGCAGTTTTTTGGAACAAGGCTTGAATTTTAATTCATCTAGAACATTATGGCATTAAAATACTGGAGAAGCTTTCTGGAAAACGAGCAAAACTAAAGAAAACTTTAAAAAGGAAAACTGAAACACAGAGACCTAATGAAGCATAGTCTGTCAATAATTTGGATAACCTTTTTGACATCACTCATAGGGATGCCCTGATCCTGATCAAGATCCCAGAAGAGAAGGATTTTTTTCTTAATCAGAAGGAAAGAGGACATTGTGGGTGCATGGGCCAGGTAGATAAGGTTCTTTCTTTGAAGGAATCAAGGGCTCAGAAAAGAAGTGAGACAAGTATGGACAGGAAAAATACATGCACAGCAAGAACTGCAGACCTTGAATAAAACAGTCAGTTATTGGGAATCACACCACAGCAGTGATGATGAGATTGGTGGATACAGTTCCAATAATAGTGAAAAGGATAGAGAAGCAACTGGAGAATTATCATCTTCTAAATCTAAATTTAGCAGCAGCTTTAGACAGAACTAAGTTGAGTGACAGAAAGGGATCATTCGTCCTTACTGCTACAGTTCACAGCCTTGGTCATGACGTGCAGAAGCTAACCATCAATTGTTCCTCAATTCAAAGATCTCAAAGAACTTTTCAAAGACTTAAAGGAACAGTTCCAACCAACAGAGTCACTTGTAGTTCACTGGCATAGCAAGCTTCTTAATGATCTCACAGGGAAAGAACAAGTGGATTATCTGCCAGTGATTTTGTCTAGAGCAGGAATAAGCAAACTCCTAGGTGTTCCAAAGTTGATTTATAGCACTGTTCTGGAAGAGTGGAGAGTCACTGATTATGTAAAGGCAGTTTGCTTTTACACAACAGCAAGCAATACTGGTCACAGAAATGGAACGTGTGTTGTTAGAACAAAAATTAAACAATAATCTTTTGTATCTGGAATACTGACATCACATTTTAGAACTTTTCTTGGCACATTTCCAAAGACTGTAAGAGACTTTGCTCTTGTTCAGATATTGCAATTTTCAATCAATTTCAGCAATCTTAGGAATACGTGGACCAGTTCAGTTATGAAACTGCAACTTACGAAGATGAAGTAGCAGAAACCATAGAGGAAGTTAAGGACAGTGTCAATGAGTTTGCTACACAACAATTTTAGGTCAGCCAACCTAAAAGTGATTGTTGAGAGCTTCTAGAATTAGCAATAACCTTTTCAGGTAGCATCCTTCCTCATAGAGTGTGATTTATTGCACCTGGATCACTGCATCATGCGAGATGGATGGCCAAGACATTATATGCCCTCAAGATCTGGATGTTTATGGGACAGTTTAAGCTCACTGGCCAGAGGAAAGAGGACTTCGTGACTTAAGCATCTTTGTTGTTTGAGTCTATGATTCAATGCTCCTGATGCTATTTCTGCTCATCAGAATGATCTGAACTTCATACAATGTCTTGGTATGTATAAGAAGGCAATTTCAGCTTTTTCAAAATCTGCATGTCAAACATTTGCTGGGCATCTTTGGTAACTCAATGAGGTAAAGTTATTTCTTAAGAAATGTTTGATACTTATATGGACATTATAAAGATTTTTCATTGGAAAAATATGAAAATTTTCTGATTCACAAAAATATTTTCAATATTAAAATAAAAATTACTTTGCATGTTGGATAGGCAACATGCGAAAAGAAAAAAAGGCATGAGAAAAACATTGCTTTACAAACGTTAAGACTTATAAAAAAAAAAATTATATTTTGCGTATTAAAGCACTGTAATGTTTACTGATAATCTGCAAAATTTCGTTAACATAAGCTTA